GGCGCGGCGGCTCCCGGGCCAGCAGCGCTTCGATGTGGAACGGGGTCTTGGGGGGCGGCGGCCCGGGCCGGGGGCACGGCGGGCTCTGCAGCATGGCCGGGCCGGTGCGGCCGCCGCCGCCCCGGAGGGCGCTTATATGGAGGGCGGGGGCCGGGGACAGCCGTGCTCCTATGCAAAGCGGCGGCGGGGGGGCGGCGGGGGCTGCACACACCCCGCTGGCCGCCAGCAACACCTCTACCGACACCCCTGCTTCCCCACCGACACCCCTGCTTCCCCACTGACACCCCTGCTTCCATACTGACATCCCACCGACACCCCTGCTTCCATACTGACATCCCACCGACACCCCTGCTTCCCCACCAATACCCTACTGTCCCTACCGATGTCCCGCCACCCACACCCCTGTTTCCCTATCAGCGTCCCCAAGGACACCCCAGTTCCCACAGACACCTCTTCCTCCCCACCGACACTGCCGTGGAAACCCTCCTTACACTCAGGGTCCGCCGTGGACACCTCTCCTTCCACACCAGCACCCCCATGGCGAGCCCTGCTTCCACAGTGACTGCCCCACGGATCCCCTGTTCCCACAGACAGCCCCACAGTCACTTCCCATTCCATGGCAGCACTCCACAGACACTGCTCCTTCCGCCCTGGCACCCCATGGACACTTCTTTTCCTGCTGTCACCTCCAGTGTCACCTGCCCTGCATCTTCCCCTACAGTGACCTGTGCTCTTTGCCCATGGACCATCACACTGGCACTCCCTCCTTCCCCAGGGATGCCCAATGGATAATGGTTCCTTCCTCAGACATCCAGAACAGCACCTAACCCCCTTCCCGATGGACACCTCACAGCAGCACCAATCCCTTCCCCTCGGACACCCACAGGGACACAAACATATCCCTCAGTCCCATTCCCAAACTCCTCCTGACATCCCCAGGCCTCACAGGAGCCCCCACACCATCTCCTGGCCACCCTCGTCAGGGCACGGCCTGCGGACCCCAGGCTGTGCCAGCACATCACACCGTGCCCCTGTGCCAAGGGGAATGTGTCTGTACCTGTCCAGGTGTGTGGGAATATCTGGGATACGGGACAAGCACCTCAGGAGCTCGCACAGGATCCGAGGTGACCGTGCCCTGGGAATGGAGCTGGTGCCATCCCTGTGTGACACCCTTGGAGCTGGGCACAGCCACATGGGCTGATGGAGAGCTGTGGATGGCACGGACACCTCTCCCAGGTGGGATTCCTGCTCAAATCCCACCAAATTCTCACTGGAAATTCACTCTGGTGTGTACAAACACAGAGGAACCCCGGAGTCTCCAGGTTAATAAACACAGAGCAGAAATCCCCTGTGGTTTAATAACCTGGCATTAACCATCCTTGCATGCACAGGCTCACAGGCCATATCCAGTAAATCCTGCCTTAAACAGGCATTCATGCCATTGAAAGTTTGTTTTCCCTGCACAATGCATAGAAATAATTATAAACATCTCTGCATTTTTGAGCATTTCAAAGCAGATGGGAATACACAGGCAGGATTATCCTGCTCATGAGGAAGCACCCTGGTGATGGCTACAGGATCCTCAGGGAGGAGGATGCCCACAGGAGACAAAAGAGTCCCTGGAGTTTGCCTTTAAAACACGTTTTTTTCCTGCCTTTTAGCATCCTGTGTTCCCCAGCAGCTTCCAAATAAGTGAATAAATACAGCTGCTGCTTTATTGCTCCTTATCCAAACAGGCAGCTCTGATCCTGCTGCCGTGGAGCCACGGCCTTAATTGGAATCACACGTTCAAAGCTGGGCTGAAGAGTGCTGAAGCCTCTCCCAAAAAGAGTCACCTTGGGAAAAAAAACATCCTCGGAGATTCACAGCTCCTGACTTTGCTGGCACAGAGGATGTGTGGGATTGAACATGGGTGTCATTAGATGAGGTTTAGGGTTATTGAAAGGTTATTAAATCAATTCATGATTTTTGCTCATGGTATAAGTCCTGACTGGTGCTGTGATTCCCAGGGAAAGCAGTGTCGGAGCTGCTGCAGTTATTAAAGGATCTGTGTTGGAGGTGTTGGGATGGGCGAGCTGCAGGCAGGGCAGGGACGCTGATGGATCCCCCTGGTAGGATGGGTGGACAGACAGACGGACAGACAGCTGCTGGGATGGACAGGGAGCCACAGGGATGGACAGAGAGACTCTGGAAAGGACCGAGACCTGCAGGGGTGGACAGGGAGCCACAGGGATGGACAGGGAGCCCCTGGGATGGAAAGGGAGCCCCTGGGGTGGAAAGGGAAAACACAGGGATGGACATGGAACCATAGGGGTGGAC